TTCTTCGGGGATTCGAGCATTAGCTTTAAATTAGAGTTGATAAATAATAGAATGTTTAATAGATATTTTAATTTTGATATCATAATAAAATATCGGAATGAAACGGCGAAAATGCAGAGTATGAACAGAAAATGTTTTCTTACTTTACACCAACTGCGTTATTGCATCGCTCCCTGCTTCTAGTCGCCAGGGGGCTCATTTAAGCAGGCCACGGCTCCATGGTATTTAAGCGCCTGCATTGCGGCTGACGCAAGACCACGTCTTTTAATTTAGTTGAACAAATGAATGCTCAAGTCCAAACGCCACGATCTGTAGGCAAAAACAAATCGAAAACATAACTCCGATGTAGAGTAAACTGCATTAGTGAGAACTTCCGATAACGCCGTTAATTGCATGATATTAAAATAAAAATACTGGAATGAAAGGGCGAAAATATATTTTAATTTTGCTACTTAAATATTTTGATGCAGATTCAGCGAGTGCGCGACAGTTGTTGAATCCAGAGCAAGATCCACAGCGATTTTGCATCCCAAGGTTGCGAACGATTTGGGGGATGGTTCAACAGGGGCCAGGTTCATCTCCTTTTGTGACGATGAGTACCGGGTGCGTGGCTTTTGCTGGAATCATTTCGATTGATTCTAAGTCGTACTTAAATCACATTAAAACGGTAGGAGTGCCAGCGGATTGGTCCTAAGACGATTTAAAGTTGAACCTCTAGAGTCTGGCAGCTCCAACCATGTAGTGAACCTTGAGAAATGTACCCGGCAGAGTGATAGGCGCAACGCACATTATCTTCCCTGATTAGGCCATAGCGGTGAGCTATGACCAAATCCTCCGAAATGAAATTATGACTGAAATGGTCCATCATCATCCGAAGACTGGAACGAATCGGTTACGAATCGCGGCTGCTGCGGTTTATAAACGTTGTCAGCATGCCATTGCAGATCACTTCTAGGCGAAGCAAGTTCTCAAGAGCCAGAACAAATACTGTAAATCAAGCGGCGAATTTTAAAGCTTAACGAACTCAGGGACAATGGGCTGCCAAAGCTTAACAGTGGGCCCCTCTTATTGTACAGGAGATCGGCAAATGGAACGACAAGGAGAGAAGCGCTGATCATCCACAGAAGAATGAAGAATACTGTAGAAGAAGTGAACAGTGCTTGAGCGATGTGCGAAAGACGAATTCTGAGAGTCTCAAGGAGATGCAAATTCCAGGCGATCCAAACCTAAGAGCTGACGAAGTAGCCTCGAAGAAGAGGTCGAAGGTTTTTGTTGAAGAAATAGAAGAGCTGCACGAACATGGAAAGTGCCTTTATAAGTTGATCACTGGTGATTTATACGCCAAAGTCAGACCGCAGCCAGGAAGCAGATGCCCTGTGCAGAAATTTAGATACGGCGAAAGGGACAACGACAAGAAGGATCGACTAGACACTGGTGGAATTTGCCGAAGAAACAAGTCATGAAGACCTTTATCGAAAAGACCAAGAAAATAAATATAGAAAGGCCAATTGATGGCAAGAATGAAATCGACAACAACAAGAACACAACGCAATACGTGGCAGTTGAACAGGTTCAATGCAAAAAGCAGCCACGGGTTGGAATCAGCTTTGGAAAGAAGATAATTGTTTGGAATGAGACGGAAGATAAACCACGTGGAAACACTACTGTAGAACCTCGGCTGTTCCAACTGAAGTTATATCAGCGACTCGAAGTTTTTCACGACATGCACAAAGAAGAAGCATGAGAAACGATTGACATCAGCGTAATGTATGAGGATATAACGAAAACAGTTGCAGAAACAGCGGAGCACATCTGCGGAACAAGAATTATGATGGTAGCACAAAACGTTGTGAAACAAGCTAAAAAGCTAAAGAACTGATGAAGAAGAGAAGGAAAGTCAAGACAGCAGCAGATCAGATATCAACGATGGAGTGCATGCAATTTAGCAAGACTAAGGAAACGAATTAAGATGGCTGATCATTCAGTTACAGATTCGTAATGGAAACTATTGAAAAAATCCGATGCTTGATGAAACTAAATAAACGATTTGTGGTGGGAGAAACAACAAAGCTTAGCTATGAAAGCAGACGATGAAATCTTCATCAGGGGCAGACAAGATAGTCTACAATGAATGGAAGATTTCTGTGTAGAATTGTAAGAAGATTAAAACAACAACTCTCTAGATGACGATAAGTGAACGTAATACTGATGCCGACAAACCTCTGTTCAAAGAAAATGCTAGGGCAGTTGAGGTGCCCTGCTGAGATTAGAGTTAATAAATAGTATATATGCTCAGTAAAGTACTATCCTTTTACGCCGGGACTCTCGTTGTTGTTACCGCTACCGTCGTTCGAATTTGTCAGTGTTTGAATTGTAAGTTTTCATAGATTTGTGATGATTAATCGTTAATTTACTTGAGCGATTTAATACGAGTTCAAGAGTGTGCTACACTCTTCATTGTGGAGTTCGAGAGTGTGATGGCTGCGGGAAAAAAATTTTCATCGGTCTATTTCTAGTTTTACACCTTCTACTGATTATCACTAGACGCTAGGCAAAGATCAGGTAGGCCAGCGCGAATTGCAGCCATTAAAAGCGCTCGCATCAATCAGCGTCGCTGTACCTCTGGTCCATTTTGGTAGGACCATACTGGAGCACTATGTTACCCCTGTAGTTCGCAGGTCAACGGCTTGCGAGCACTTTCTCGACTGATTGCAACGAAGCAACAGGGTGTCCATTTCTTACTCAATCGAATATGCGTATAAGACAAAATGTTCTTTTCTCTCAGGATTCGAACTTGGCCCCTCAGGAGTTCAAAGGCGACCTCTTACCGCTGTGCTAAGTATTCTTCGACATCTCGATTGTTTATAGTTTTCTCATGAATATGCGGTAGATGGATATCGGATAATATAGGAAACTGAGGACGGACTTCCCGTAATGAGCGAGTGCTGTTGGCTGTCTAATTGTCTGCGTGAAAATCTCCTTACAAAATGGGGAAAATATTCTGCTTCCAAGAATGTAAGGGCGAGGCCTGAGTTGCCTAAACTACTGGATTTAGCAGCAGGCATGTCCGTGAGAATCTGCATGATGTTAATTCACTACTTGATTTCTGCCTCCACCTCATAAATATTCTTTAAAGTGAGAGTGTGGTCAAAAATGATAATACTAACGCAGTCCACACGTTGTTTATGCTTCACTTGACACATCTAGAATATTATATTACGAAAGTTTTACACCTTCCTGTTGTCCAGATGCAGCAGCAACTCGATTCGGTTGTAACTGTCATATGTGAAAGCAATTTCCCCTTGAGGCGAGATCAGAATTGAGAGTTTCCTCGATCTCTTACAAAATTCACAGCTTTCCAGTTGCTTGTTACCGGTAGACGGATAGATTTCCTCTATTGCTTCTGCCTGCTCACTCATTCTGGATTTCCGTCGGTCGAGTTTGAAGGCCTACTCAACAGGGTGATAAACGTCTGCCAACATCTGGTCCTATTTTTCACAAGTTTTCTGTAGGATAAGCTTTGTGGCAGATGTGGGAGGGAAAAAGTCAATGTCTGCTCAAAGTGTCATTTCTTCCAGTCTGTTGTGATTTTCACCAGTCGATTATTTTCAACATCGAATTTGACAACGTAGTTGTTTATGTGCCTTCCTCAATCTCATGTTCTAGCAACTACCATCGTATTGCATATCATTTTGTTATTTATTTTTTACTTTTCCAAATCGAGTTCTGAAGTAATTGAATAACGATTTTCAATTTGTGGCGACTTTATTAGTTTGTAGAAAGTTAGTGGCCCAAAAGTTAGAAGGCTAAAGAAAAAAACATTCTGACCTCATTGAAAGGTTGTCCAATTTACTGAAGCACAATTTGGAATACGTGTTTCAGTCGATGGAGAAATTAATTTACCGATCCTCGCATTATGCATGATACCAAAATGTCGAGCGTTGCGGCTTGGTGGAGAAAAGCAAAATATAGGGAATACCTCAAAGACAGATAAATTATTTGGCGGCAAATACTCGCGTACCACAGTGCGCAAACTTCTAGATTCAATAGATAGAAAGAGAGGCAGATGGATAAATAGGTAATTGCTTTGATGAAAGGATGCATGGACAGACAGATCGACAGAGAGTTAAACAATTAAATAGGTAGAAGGCATATAGAAAAATTAGGTAAGTCACAAGATCGATAGATTGATAGGTAGATGGATATAGAGCATGTTATGCCTTCAATAGCAGCTGTATTGGTGGCATGGTGCCGCATATGCATGAGGAAAAGGAGCAGATGGTAACATATGCAAGTCGCACCCTGACCGCAGCCGAAAAATGTAAAATACGATCCGAAGAGAGCTGCTGACTGTAATACATCTTATTCGAACTTTTGGCTAATATTTGTGCGAACCACATACCACGACCAAGGCGAATCATAACACATTACGCTTCCTATGTGGATTGAAAAACAGGACAAAAGGACAGATGGCTCGTTAGCTCGAGTGCCTATTTGTTTGAGTTCGATTTTAACGTCTTTCATTGGCCAGGCCGACAACTTGGTGAGGGTAATGAGTTATCAATCGAACACTGATAGGCAATCGGATATTCTTTTTCAATTTCAATCGAATATTTGTGGAAGCAAGCAATTACACATGACAACAATCGAACCTCGGCGATTTCACCCCTTAGTGGGCAACAAGACCAGCGAGATGACCCAAGCATTGCAACTCTATGACAATAGATGTCACACAGCCCATTAGGTCCACCTCCAGAGAAACTCAAAGGACAAAACAAGGTAGTAAAGCACCTACAGAATCAGTGAGAAGTACTCGAACTCTGCGATGAGATCATATTTCGTGAGATGCCACATAGCAACATTCATGACGACAGTAGGTCATCTTGCCAGCTATCAGGAGTGATGAATTATTAGAAATAGTTCGTGATAGCCATAATGGCTGTCATCTGAGCGGATACAAGATCCATGATAATGGCAAAGATCGCTTCTTCTGATCAGGAATGAAGTACGACGTCAAGAGATGGTGCAAACGGTGTAACGTATGGCCCGGTAGAAATACAGTCAAACGGCATAACCGAAAGCTACTCCAGTCACATCCAGCTGCATACCCGATGAAACAAGTATTGGTGGGCACATTGGGTCCACTGTCCACCACGGAGCAGGCATATTTTGGTGGTACGCGACAGTTTTACACGCCGGAGGCGTGCGCGTTGCCCAATCAGGAAGCCATTACAGTCACCACCAGGTTTGACAATGAATTTAGTTTCGTCGATATGGTTGCCGAGTGCAATTGAACATGAATCAAAGAAAACAATATGAAAACCTGCTTTTTTAAAGAAAATATGCCGCATCGTAGAAATTCAGAAGAGAACAGTCATTTGCGGAGTAACCGCAGCCACACCGGATAGCTGGACCGTTAAACTGTACCCGTCAGCAGCAGCTAAAGACGCATGTATCGAACCTTCAACGCGAATGGGACCTGGGACCGGCATATGGAGCTTTTTATGATTGCGCGAACGTACTGTAGAAGCCTCCATTTGGAGTGAGTCAATGAACGCACCATTTCTTTCTTCTTCCCATTTGCTTCTGGAAGCTCCTTCATGCTTATTTGTAAGGATTCATGCCAAAGCATGCACAGCGACAAGAACAATGCAAACTTCGCCGGACCGTAGCAGAAATAAGTATGTTCTAGCGATAAATGCTGATGATGAAGAGGTCTGCCGTTGCAATTTCGCTAATCGCTCGTTGTTTTAATCCCCACTTCAGATGCCGCGTTTCCTCAGAGCCTTTCTACTGTACGAAGACGGAGCACCGGTGCAGGTTGCGGAGATCCAGCGAATTCTGTTGGTCAGCGCGTGGATATGCGTACTACCGTGTTGCTTGCTACCTGCTGATCATCGTGCTGAGTCGTTTCCTATATCCACGCATCAAACTGCACGAGCGAGTTTGCATATCGTCCAGTTTTTCTTGCCTGAAGGTTCCCACCTCTACAAAGATTGCTGTTAAGTCGACTGAACGCTGCGCTGGCCAATCGTAATACGGTGAGGTTCAAATCCCGGTCGGAGATGCGGTGTTTCTTGTTTAAGAGGCAGATAAGCGAGGACCACCACGAGTGGGAAGGAAGCAGGACACTGCGTTTTAATTTTGTTACGCAGCTGTGGTGACTAGGGACAGTGCTCCTAACGCCTTTATGGCAGGTCACTATAAAAGAAGACCATGAACGAGTTAGTTTAGGAGGACGATCTTTCTTGAGGACCCCATCACAGCGAAGACTTTCCGTGTGGTCAGCCCTACAGATCGAAACTGTTCACTAGGAGGAGTTTATCGAGAAATAAAGAGGAAGCGAATTATCCATGCTAATTGAATGATCACAAGCTAGAACATCTTCATCTTCCATCGCCGCTTCTCCTTTCGGGTCGCGGAGGCAGACGCGTCATACAGTGCTTCCAACGTTCCTGATCCTGTGCCAGAGTCTGAGCTTCGGCAAAAGACAAATGCAGTCTGGTACAGATTCCTTCCATATGTTT